TGTTTTTAACTTGTTCAGTTTATTTCATACCGAATTATGTAATTTCAATTTTTAATTATGTTTGTAATCTTTTTTTTAGTTGTATTTTAAAATATTAATTTTTTAAAATCAGTATTTTTAATTATAAATTTTTTAATTAATGTATCACAATTAAAACAATCACTTATTCGCAAGTATTCATCAACAACATACGCTGATGTTCCATAGGCCAACACCCTTATGGCTGCAGTACATTTCTGCAATGGTGAAATACCCAGTCTACCGGTGGCATCACGTCTTTGTTGAAAATATTCGTCGTTGGTGGTGATTTCGCTCACTATACGAAGAAAAAGATTCTTACGCATGCGAAATCTCCGACGGAATACCTCTTCAGGATAGGTTGGATTGTCGGAGAAGTAGTCATTTAACACATTATCCTCTCCTCTCTCTCGTTGCCTCTCAATGACTTGTCTTCTACCTCTAGGAACGGGATTTGTTGGTTGTAAGACCATATTTGGAATATGAACAATCATATCTTCCATAATACGATCAAGTTGTTGATTTTGTTGAATCACTCGTTCTTCCCATTCATCAAATTTGGTGAAATTGGAAGTTTCAGAACTAGAACTTGAATTTTCAGATGAGTTTTCAGTCGAAGACATTTCGGAACAAGAACGAAGTGTCTTACGAAAAAAACAAATTTATAATTGATATAAAGAAGATATATATGAGCTTATTTTGATATCAATTTGATCTGAATTCAACCATATTATATAGGAATGTGGTATGAAGAGTTGATGTAGATTTAACCATATTATAATTGGAGTCCATACTTTTATGTTGATAAGATAAGATAAATTAAATAATTGAATTTATTATATATATTAAAAAAGCTGCTATTTGATCCGAATTCAATATTTGTGAATTTTGAAAGACAAAATAAAGTTGCTATTTGATAGTAATAACTCGCACACTATATTCCAAATAGCTCTTGGCCATTGATTTTATATGTGACTATTATACTAGTGGATAGGACAATCATGGAGTGACATGTGATTTCTGAAAAAGATTAGAGAAAAATACTTACTAAATAGACTTTTATTAAATAACTTGAATTACAGGAATTGAAAAGCTTACATCAGAATAACTAAAATGACATAAAATGAAAGCTGCATGATAATAAATTACATCTACTTTCCAAATAAAATTGAAGTTAAATGACATTTCATCTCTTCATCTTCCGGCGATAAGTGGTCTTTTGCCAACAGTGTATTCAACACCATTATATTCATTTTCCTAATCTTCCTTTCTTCTTTCTTGCGTTCCAACTCCATCCTATCGTTCGATATTTTTGTCATTAAATCACATTCGTTCTTTCTTGTAAGTCTTAGTGCACGAATTTCAGCAGTGAACTCATCAGGAATGGAAGAAGATTGTGATGCTACCTTTTTCCTTTCTTTTTCGCCTTATCTCTACCTTCGGGACGTGGAATCACAAAACCATCACTAACTGGTGTTTCTTGGTTTGAGGGAATTGAATAATCTCCATCTTCAGTAGTCCTTGATCTTTTGGAACTGCCATGACTTTCTTCATTACTCGCTTCATCTTCAGGGCGAGAACGAGTTGAATCACGATCTAATTTTAATTCCCATTTGGGATGCTTTCGCATGACTTCTTAAAAAACATGCAAGTCTGTAAACTTGCTACCACCAGCTTCATAAATTATATGAGCTTCTTTTTAAAAATCTTTCATGCTCATTCCGCTCCTTTTATTCCTGTATGCTTCCATGTAAGCTCCTCTCCACTTGTTTATATTTGCATTAAGGCGTTTATAACGACCTTTCATTGAATCCAAATTTCTTTCACCAATTTGTTCTGGATTTTCCAATCGAGCTTGTTCAAATATTTGAGCTATGCGTGACCATAATGAAAAACCCTTCTGATTCTTGCCACACATTTTGTCTTCGCTAACGAAACACCAAGCTGACATTAGAGTAAGATCTTCAGCCACACTCCAACTAACATTTTTTGTTCCTTTTTGAGGATTTGTGCGTGTCTGTTGCACATTTTGAAATAAATTTTGGGAGATGCTTTGTGGGGGTTGGGCATTTACAGAAACTGGAAATTGGGTAAGATTAGGAGAAAATGGCTCTTGTGAATAATTTTCAAAATTCTGAAAATTTTCAGAGTTTGACAAGTTTTGAGAATTGACGTAATACTCAAAATTTGGATCCATATGATTTTTGTTGGAAATTAAGAAAAGTAAAATAGATGATAAAATTAATAAGATATGATTAAGAAAAGAATGATCAGAGAGAAATTTCAGTTGTGATCTAAAACATATCAAGAGTGGTATCTATTTATAGAGCATGAAAAAATACGAATTTTGATATATATATATTTTTAATATATAATAAATTTAATTATTTAATTTATCTTATCTTATCAACATATGGAGCAATTATTTAATGTATCTTATCAACATAAAGGTATGGAGCAACATAATACAAATGCATCTTATCTTATCATGGACTCAATTATTTGTTTAATATATAATAATTGAATAAAAAAAAAACTGAAAATGCTCTTGCCCCGGTTGCGACCTTGAGTCACCATGTGACTTGGGTCGGCAGTTATTTTATATTTTCGCTTTTTTTTTTTAATTTTTTTTAATTTTTTTTTGTCTTTTCTGGTGACCCATTGAGTTGGGTCACCGATAAACAAGGTCTTAAAAAGCCAAATCTTAGGGATGGCACTGCTTTTTAAATACATTTGAAATTTGAGACCCCAAAAATTGCTCTAAATTTAAGTTCTACCCGAGGTATTTCAGTCTCCGGATTAAATTAGTCAGAGCCAAATTGGGTATCAGCAGGAGGCCCCCGAGTTTAGGACATGTTCTGGATTGAACTGTTATGAAGTCGTGTTATTCTTTACAATTTGGCGATGTCTTTGCCTCGTGATCTTTTGAGCTTCGAGCTCTTTGCATCGCATAAGGATATTTGCGTAATGAGAGTCGTCAGTGAAGTCATAAATATGTTGACGAGTACGCGTGATAAATAATTTTTGCGTGATTCATGAGATCACTTTTATCTTGTCAGTTTTTGGCGAGAAATGGTGATTTTATCGCGAGTTAGTATGCAATTTTAGGTTGCTTTGGGACACTTGAATGTTTTGTTGATCATTTTAGGCTTTGGCCTGATGAATTATGATAATAACGCTTGTTCTTCGATGAGTTGAGTCGGTTTTGACCAAACATGCGGTTTCTTCTGAATTGCTATTGGATGGGGCTGCGTGGCCAGGTCGGGTAATTTGGTATCCGTTCTTATGTTGTAATGCCTTTTGAATTGTTGACATGAGTGAGCGTAGAGCTCTTTGTCCGGGGGAGCTTTGAGCTCTTGGTGTAAGCTTTGAGCTCTTTATTTCTTACGAGATTGTATGCATAATGCGATCATATTAGGAATGAGTGAATGTATAATGAATGTATGTGATGAATGTTTGACAAATGAGAGCACCTTGTCGCATGTTTTGCTGGGCCGAACCGTGTTTGGAGTTCGCTTTTTAGTGTTAGGACACTTCGGTCTTATGGCCCGTAGGCCTTTAGTTTTACGGCATCTCGGCCTGACCGGGCCCCTTTGTCGAGGCCGGTTTGTGGAATTTATTGCACTAACTGTAGTGGCTCTTTTATCCGACCAAGTCACTTCGTCAGACTCGGGGGTGTTTTGGCTCGACTGGGCTACATATTGAGCCCATATTTTTATATATACATAATCAAATTGGCCGCTTTTACCTGGAAGAGTCGCGTGTTGGACTCGATGGTATTTTGGCCTAATCGAACTATGCTTGAGCCCGAGTATTTATATTTACATAATCACATTGGCAACTTATCGGACCGGTCTTGCGTTCAGACCCGGTGGTATTTTTGGCCTGGCCGAGCTCCTTAATTAAGCTCGACACTTTTTTATTACTTGACCGAGCTTCATAATTGAGCTCAACACTTATTTATTACTTGGTCGAGCTTCATAATAGAGCTCGACACTAATTTACTACTTGGTTGAGCTTCATAATTGAACTCAGCGCTTATTTATTACTTGGTCGAGCTTCGCGTTTGAGCTCAACACTTATTTATTACTTGATCAAGCTTCACGATTGAGCTCGGCGCTTATTCATTACTTGCCCCAATCCGCTTGTGGAGTTCGACACTTTTTTTATTATTTTTTACGGTGACGCTATGGCCTGACCGGGCTACTTTGTTGAGCCCGGCTCGTGCCGGCCGGGCCATCGTACTGGACCCGACCTGCACTTAGTTATCACATGGCAGCTTACCTGAACGGTCTTGCATTCGGACTCGGTGGTATTATTGGCCTGACGGGGTCATCGTGCTAAGCCCGACTTGTGCTGGTCGGGCCATCGTACTGAACCCGACCTGCACATAATTACGTTAATTACGATATTTACGGTCAAGGGGTTACGCCGACCTGGCCGGAGCTTGGCTCCACGGCTAGCGAAATAGTGACGTTGGCCTCGCCGCAAG